TTAGCTCGAATCATGAAAGTTGGATGATGGGCATGCTGGGCTGGAGCAGTGCAATCGTTCGTATGCATTGGATTGGACAACAATGGAGAATGGAGGAGATCAGCGGCTATTATCATTTTCAACTATTCCTAAATAGTGTACAAGAATCATGCACGCTCGAGCTGAATGACTTAAGTTACACAGACGCCCTCTGCATCTTTGGCTCTGTTATATTGTGGGCTAGTTGCGACATTGAACGTGGAACTTTCACACAAGGCAGTTGGCCAAGCCGAGCACATTGCTCTATTCAAAACCCCACGTTTCATTGTAAAGTTTGGAGAGGCACCTTTGTGTTTGTAAGCGTGATGCTATATGAAGAGTGGTCTTTGTTCATTGTCAAGTAGGTGGACCCTGGCAGAGCAAAAGATGCAGAGGGTCGTGTTGTGCAACACAGCTACGTTTGCATGAATGAAAGGGTCAGTGTATAATTACTTTATGGATCGTCTAGGAACAGGCATGTATTACTAGCTAACGGTCACTTTTATCCAGTCATCATTGTTGCGAGATCCACTGCATGGGAACGATGCCCCTGTTCCAGACATTCATTTCCATGATTAAAGTAGGTTGATCCGAGCTGATTTGACTGAGCTGCGGTCAAAGAGAGATTACATCACTCTGGACATAAAGCACGCTCGATGTAGCTCAACCGATGTAATCTTGTGGGAGCGTAACTCAACCAAATCAGCTCGGATCAACCTACTTTAATCATGGAAATGAATGTCTAGAGCAGGAGCATCGTCCACCTACAATAGAATGCACAAAAGTTGGGAATGCACAAAAGTGGCTATTAGCTGCCAATGTATGACATACAAGTGAGGGTTGCGTACCTTTCATGCATTGTCCCTGAAGTCCTGACTTTATAGCTGAGTTACCCAAAGAGGTCCTTCTGCATCTTTTGCTCTCCAGGGTCTAGCTACTTGGCAATGAACAAAGACCACTTCTCATATAGCATCACGCTTACAAACATAAAGGTGCCTGTATCTCCGAACTTTACAATCAAACGTGTAGTTTTTATTAGAGTAATGTGCTCAGCAGCCAACTGCACCTTGGGTGCCAGTTTCACGATCAAGCTTGCCAATCCCAGATTCGCAATGTCGCCACCAGCCAAACTGGATCTGGGGGTCGACCTCTTCGACGACGACGACCAAAAAATATTTTTGGGCTAGTTGCGACATTGAACGTGAAACTGGCACCCAAAGATTCTCGATTGGCCAAAGCCGAGCACATTGCTCTAATAAAAACCACGTTTGATTGTAAAGTTCCAGAATACAGGCACAGCACATGTTTGTAAGCGTGATGCTATATGAGAAGTGGTCTTTGTTCATTGTCAAGTAGCTAGATGCTGATAGAGCCGAAGATGCAGAGGGGCCTGTTTGTGTAACACATCCGGTTTTGCATGAATGGAATGATAATGTATGATACGTTATACACTATTCAGTGACAGCTCATCATTGGCAGCTAATAGTCACTTACTCCCACCCTCAACTTTTTGTACATTCCACTGCATGGAACGATTCTCCTGCTTCAGCTCATCATTTCCATCATTCAACTTTCTTGATCCGAGCTGATTTGACTGAGTTACGCCCAAACAAAGAAGAATCATCCAACAGCATAAAGATCAGTTTAATCCAAATCAAAACAGCCCAACCATTCCCATCCAAGCATGAAACAAGCCATACAATCCTATAAACATCATTGTGTGTACAGCGAGGATCTTCATCATACATTAACAGCACTGGCAACTTGGCTATCCTTCTTTGGATACAATTTTGGTATGTATGGAAAACTTTTTTATGGTACAGAAACTATAACTTGGTCAAATCCACTCTTATTCTCTCATGTGATGCTTTGGCCTCTCCTTGGGACGAATGGAAGGTGCATCGTGCGTAGGTTCCACCGTTTTGCCGCTTTGTTAAATATCCAGGATTGACACAAACGACCTCATCCATAACCTAGCATAGCAGGAATGCATACATTGAATACCGCTAAAACATGCATGACCTGCATCCTATATACTCCTCTTACCTTTGCAAATATCTTGAGTTGTGAAGGAGCAACTATAACATCTGGTTTGATAGGGATCTGAAGTTCAGGTAATTGTTCTGAATCAATGCAATCGGTTGCTGCGTATGGGAACAAAGGATAAAAGCTATTATGATAGATCCGTTAGTACAATAGCAGGTGACTCGTCCTTGTACATACCTCTGTTGTCTAACCAAGTGTGATAATAACCTTGGTAACCGGTCCTTTGAAGAATTGCTACATGCGAACGATTAATCATCAAGCCATAACACGAATCGAGATAGGCAACATACTTTGAAATTTCCTCCCGAGAGATGTTCATAAGAATATCAGTATTCCCAAGAGCCAGTGTTGTACCATTGATATCGATGATTGCAGGGTTGCTCAGTGTCAGTACGTTGTCAAGCTTCAGCACGGATTGAGGTAGCGGTGGTTGTGGGATCACGGGGTACTCGTGAATAATGTCGTTTGCATGGGGAATAATGACCAATTGTGTTCCTGGGCATTGTTCAGCAAGCTTGGATAAATGTGGTGTCACTTGCTTTTGGAGGATTTCTTCGGGCGTAAGATCCATTGTTGCATTGACGATATCAGGATGATTTTCGGAAACAAAGGGGCCCATCTAAATAGAAATGACAATGAGTACTGTATTCTTTGTTGACGATAACAACGACCCCTCAATTACCAAGACAACGACATCCGGCTTTTGCTCGATACAGGTTTCAATCAATCTTTCCAGTGGTTGGTATGCGAGATCATCATCAAACGTATAGGGTCCAGCCGATACAATTACATCAATAGGTTCGGTCATACTGCTGCTGTCATCATCCATTCGATCCATAGCAGGTGGTAATGGGGGCTATATATATATGAAATTCATAAGGTACTACTTTGGCCCCACTGATGACATATACTACTTACCATCAACAGCTTCTCTGCAACCAAAAGGCGACCTGTATTGTTCACACCTTCGACACCGACGATCTACGTCATTGAACGTAAGCAACAGCCTTGCGTGATGTGTGGATTTCCATAATTTGTACCTGACCAGGGAAGAGGCTGTATTGCTCCAATCTGCGAATATCCATTTGTACTCGTTTACCCATGCCCAGATCTCGAGAGGTCTCCAACACGATCGATTGAGGGTTCAATTTTCCTTCGGATGCATCGCAACAAATACGGCCCACAGCCACTATTTTATCCTTCCCAAATCTTGTCAATATCTGATCCTATGCACACATTCCCTTTTGATGTACCTGATGTGCTCTGCTAGGGTTGGCAAATCCTCCTTCCAGCTGATAATGCTTTTCAATTTGTTCAGCAATATACTCGATCCGCTCATCAAGACCTATCCCGTATGGTCAATATCCTTATGACGCATGAGTATAGGTATACACTTACTATCAGCCTTGTCCCTGATCTTTTCAAACATGTATCGATAATTGTCACTTTTTGATTGCACCACATCCACTTTTGCTCTTTTGGTAGTTGAATCCGTAATGGGTTGACGCAGGGGTAATTGGGGGTTGCATTGTTCCTCAATAGTGTTGCCAGCCATGCGTTGTGCAAACGAGGTCGATGTGCGTGATCTACTCTCCATCCCTTTGTCAGATCATACTCTCGCCTCCTCCCCCTGATAATTATTATCCTTTTCTTCACTTACGGTCCAATAGAACGCATACTTTTGGCATTTTGTGGAGTTCGAGATTGTGGCGTGGATCTTGCATTGGGACGTGCCATTGTCTTGGATATACTTTTTTCGTACATGTCAATAACAACTCTTCCACAGCAATAAGGTCCTTTACTTACAAATCTTCAAGCGACTCGCCTTCGTCAACCTGCATATCATAATCGCCCATATCCATGGCAGTGGGGTTGGAGACCTTGGCTTGGTCACGTCGTTTTTGTTCAAGCTGTTGCTCAAACTCACGTTGCAAGTTGATCTTGAGCTGGCGAATGAGATCGACTGTCATTTCGACCTTTTCAAGTCGTAGGTTCAAGGAGAATGCTTCCCATTTGAACTTGAGATCGGTAGGAGAGAGGTTGTATAGTCGTAGAAGCGATTCCACTGTTGAAGAATAAAATCAGTCGATCGAACTCGATAGTCATGGTTTCCTTTCTTCTTACACTCATCGAGGATATCGCTATGAGTTGCTTCTGTCAAACGAAAAGTGTCACGTAGTTTGTCGCGTTGACTCATTGAGGGAACGTGTGTTGTGTCAGTGTGCCTTGTTTGATGGATGGAAGTTGTAGCGGAGAGAGGAAAGGCAGGTACGCGTTACAACAAAGACGCGATTTGGGTCATGGTTGCATGCGCGTGGTCGGTGATACATACAAAAGCATGAAAATTGTAATGATAAGAATCGAGCCCATTGCGAGGATAAAAGACCAAGGGGGGTTGCTGTATGGCGTACATTGCATGTCACCACGAGTCGCTCGTATTCAGGTGATTCATTCTTTTTTTGTTGCATTGCCATTTCACTCACAGCTTTTACTACAACATGCAACCAAGCCTTCTTTGTCATTGACATACATTTCCCATTTTATGGAATTTTGTTTACCTTGCTTATGGCGGGTAATTAGCACTATTTGTAAGGTGAAGTGATGGGGAAATAAGGGTGAAGATGAATCGCTGACGACATGGACGCCATGTGCGACATTGGAAATAGACAACTGTGATGAATGCTTATTTGTAGTACACGAATGGTTTTAAAGAATGAGAAGGTTTTCTTCTATGCTCCTTATGGTGGGATCCTCCCTGAAGCATCGTAGTAATCCTATTGTGTGTGTGTATGTGTGTGTACACGCAACCCCCTGTTTTTCGTACAATTTCTCTAATTAAGCAGGAAGCGTCAAATGACGGGTACTGCAACGTGCAAGCATTATCGATAGGGCACAACAAAAGACACTCTTACTTTCTCTCCTTGCTCTCCTCGAGATATCAATATATTGAAGCACTCCCTGTCTGTGCTTTTTGATAACTGGCAGCTGAAACGAATAATGGACGTTGCTGTCATGCAGTGGGATTTCTATTAAAGATAGGCTGTGTTGGGGCAACGAGTAATCAGTCTTGCCTTTTCAATGGGTTACTCCTGACAGTTCTCAGAACTCGGTGCATAAGGCTGGAATTGGATTGAATGCCTATTGCTGTCAACCCGCAGAATCAGTATTTTGTTGCTTTAATGTCGAGTAACATCCTGCTGCTTTATTTGATGAAATAGCTATCCCACCCCCTATATTGCTTCTTGTAACATTTTCTTCCTTTTTTCACTCTTTCTCTTTTTCTCTTCCTTCCTCTCTCTCTTTTTCATCCTCCTCTTTTCCTCCTTTCTATTATATCCCATTCGCATGATATAGCATCATGGCGTCAAAAGTTGCGCCCAGTAACGAAGACGGCAACGACTTGGACGCCTCCTGCCACACACTACGCACCTGTACCCGATTGCGCCAAGGCTCACAGGATGAGGAACTTCGTAAGGTCATTGAAAAGCAACGCATTGTCATTCGAGATCTACGAAAAGCGTTGGCCAAAGTAACGGCAGACCGCGACAATTTGCTTGCCAAGTTTGACATAAGTTCAAGTAACAACGCCGCAACCGGTGATCGCCCTCCTGCTGCTACCCCTGTGCAACATGAAATGTTAATGATGATGAGCGATGAGGATGATGCCTTGAGTACAAGTCCTAGTTCCAGCAGTTGTTGCAGTACAGCAAGTAGCAGTAATCCTACAACAACAGGGCCTATTCCTCCACCACGATCCCCATTTCGACAACATAATGTATACATCAACAACAATCAGCATCATCCAACATCTCCTATTAGCAGCGGCAGCAACAATAGTAGTGCCAAAGAACAGCTGACGGAGGATCCATCATCGACCCCACATCGAGTTGATAGCTTGTCTTTAACATGTGCTAGTGGAAGGCGAAATCCCAATACACGTTCATCATCGCTTCCTGTTGCCAGCTTCAAACGTTCCATTTCACCAACCACTGCTGCTACCATGATGGTTAATAATTCACCTGTCAGTGCTATTTTGGATAAAGACAAGCAACTTTTTGCTCGTTACCAGGAGTCAATGCAACGAACAACAGTGACCAATGGCGATCATGTCGAATGCAGCACAAAGACATCCATCAGTGCAGGAGATATCTCAACTCACGACGATGACCTATCACCATCTTCGCAACATCAACAACAATGGTTATGGCCATCTCCACCACCCATTCCACCTTCTGAAAGAAAGATGTCCACAACATCAACGTATCATCGACGCCATGTACGTAGAGCATCATCCCAACCTGCCATTGTCACATCCACGTCTTCATCCCTCCGCAATCCTGCTGAGAAGAAAATTGACCGTTTGCTCGATGGTGTCTCGGTTAAAGTTCTTGGTTCTAACATCACGACCAACGACAAAGGAAAAGGAGTGGTATCGTTTACAATCTCAGTGGGACAAAACGCCGACAAGGAATTGTGGTGCATTGAGAAACGCTACTCTCATTTCTTAACCCTAGATACCAAAGTAAGTTATTACTCCCTCCCCTTTCATGCTATTGCATTGTTGTCAGTTATTAAAGTAGCACCTTTATAGTTGAAATCACAATGCAAATCAAAGACATTCAAGACCACCAAGCTACCTGACAAGGCTCTCTTCGCTACTCATGCACCAAGCAAAGCTGACCAAAGAAAGCATGCCATTGAAAAATATTTGCAACGTGTCATTGAAGTACCATGGCCAGACTTATCCGTGCTCCATGACTTTTTGAATTCGGACAAGACATATCGAAAAGAAGAATCTCACCAGGTATGTACCTCGTTCTACCAGTGGTTGATGCCATCATCATGTGGATTAACGCATTTCCTTTATTATAAGACTCGTCCGGGCTATAAAGCAGGATACTTGACACGACGTGGCAAGAGCTTTGTTGGTTGGAAGACTCGATATTTTGTATATGAAAATGGTGTCCTGAGGTATTACGATAATGTGAGTATGCGCATGATTCGTATTGGACTTGAATTGACAAGCTCCTCTTTTTAGCCTGAAGGAGCATTATTGGGGACCATCCTTATACCCGATGCACAAATCCGGCCAAGCAATTCACAGTCATCTTCCCATGAGCCGCATCATGCATTCCTTATTGTTGAGCCTAAAAAGGCTGCATCTCCTGGCAGCGGAGTGTATCGACATTTGTTGTGTGCTGAATCGGATAAGGAACGGGATGAATGGGTGGATGTTCTTACACAAGCCAAAAAAGATGCTCAAGATGCCCAACATCATCCTCTTCAATATCATCCACCTCGAGCCAATTCAGCTGATTCAGCAGCACATCATGAGTATCATCACCACGATGATGAACGACCTCCTTTGCGTCAACGTTCAAGCATGGATCAAGTCTACATGCCGGCTAGCAAGAAATACAGCATCACATCGTCCGTTGGCAGTAATCGTCGAGGATCTATTGGAAGTAGTCGTCCATGTTCACCCTCTGCGGATGATCAAGAAGGAGGAGCTTTGGATGGAAAAAAGAAGAAAGGAAATAGAAGGACGTTTTGGTCAAAGAAAATGGCCACTGGTATACCATCCACAAACAGCATTCGAGGTCTCTTATCACGCAATTCAACGGATACCTCAGCTGATACAACTATATCCACACCACAAAGTACATCCAACGGCAAGAATAATCCATCCAACAAAGTGTTTGGTGTACCTCTTGAAGAAGCCGTGCGTGCATCCCGTATTTCAGATACATGCCATCTTCCTGCTATTGTCATTCGCTGCATTGAATATCTCGAAGCCAACAATGCTACAAGGGAAGAAGGGATTTATCGCTTGAGCGGAAGTGCCGTCAAAATTAGATCTTTGCGAGAAGAATTTGATCAGGGTAAGTAACAATGTCAATCATGATTATGCGTAGTATTATGCTCACCCGCTAATTATGGTGCGTGCAATAGGCACCGATGTCAATCTTTTGGAGTCAAACGAGCACCATGACATACACGCTGTAGCTGGCGTATTCAAAATGTGGTTACGAGAGCTACCAGGCAACGTCTTGACCGAAGAACTACTACCAGAGTTTTTGCCTGTGATAGGTAAGCATCAAGTTGTATCATCCTACAGGTACATATAGATGCTAATAATGGATCATGAGTAGATCTTGTGGATCGTCAAGAGCGTGTACAAGAATTAGGAAGGCTGGTATCCATGCTGCCATTAGCCAATTATGCATTACTACGTAGCCTTTGCACGCATTTGATAGGCGTTGTAACGAGTTCAGAGACCAACAAGATGAATGCACGCAACGTTGGCATTATTTTCTCGCCCACATTGCAAATCCCTACCGGTATCTTCAACCTGTTCCTGAGCGAATTTCAATACATCTTCATGACCGACAATAACGACATCACCATCTCAGCCGACAGTAACAAGATCCAGCTCGATTCAATTACTGATAGCTCCTTGTCAACATCATCCACCATCAACACTGATCCTTTACATCCTACGCAACCTCTGCCCCGTGTGCAGCATACTATACTTGATGAACAAGGTCGCAGCAACAGAAATAGCGTGCATTACATGAATGGCACCCCCTTCTCAATTGTTGGTTTGGAAAAAGGTAACTACGCTTTATTTTATACATGCTATAGCAACGTGTCTCATTGTAAACCTCTTCAAAGGAAATGCTCATGTTGCAGATGACGACGAGGTAGACGACCTGGATTTCCACAATGACACTCTCGACGATGACAATGAACCCACTTCCAGCAATGGCAGTCTTCACATGTCAGAAAGCTTCCACAGTAACGATAGTAAACCAGACATGACAACAACATCCTTCACAGCATCCGGTCAACTACTAGCAATGAAATAACGCACCCACACATATTGTATATGTTTTATCTCTTACTTGCCATTTGTTTTCTTTCTCTTTTTATACATACACACGCAAACACGCACACACACATCACTCGTTAGCTATTCAATTGAAACTTTATCCTCACAACCTTCCTATTCCCCATTCACACTTATAGTTAATCATCCAAACAACTATAAAGCTATAACATTTTATCGCATTGTATTCTAAAGAATGGATGTTACATGAGAGCCAAAAGCTGTTTATAAACAGGCTCTGCATAAATGGATTTGCTGTTGCCATGCAATGCTTCGTCGGGGTTGCTAGGAGACCGTCGGGAGGGGGGAAATTACCAGGCTGAGCCATCCCCCATGCTCCGATGAATGATTTCAAATTACACTTAGACATGAAATTGCTACACATTGACCTTCCCAAAAACCTCCATATTTTTGCTATTGAATGTTTCGGATATTCCGCTACAGTATGAAACCAACATTGACATTATCCAAATAAGGAAATTTTGCCGTCGATCAGCGTCCGAGCATGTTTGCGAAAACATGCTCGGTCTCGTGATGTAACGGTTAGCATATGAGACTCTGAATCTCATTATCCGAGTTCGAATCTCGGCGAGACCTAAGGCTATTGTTTTAAATTGTTGGATGAGGTCACGTGACCTGGGGTTTGCATTGTCGATACGGTATTCTTCGTTAACCTAATATTCTTTTTGACGTATCGGTCACTATACAAGAAAAGTTATAGATCGTTACCATGAAGTCCATCAAGAGGATCAAGCTTCATTGTGTATTCAGGTAATCACATCCTAAGGTATGTTATCATTGTTCATAATAGCTCACATTGGGCAGGTTTATGCACGTGTACCACAAAGCAAAGCGCATGTAATGTCCTGGATCGATAAAGAGGCTTCAATGTTGTATTCATTAATGATACTTGTTACACGCTTGTGCTTTGTCAGGTGTGGCAATGTGTAATATTTCACACGATCCTGTCAAACGACAAGATCACCTGACAGGAGCCTACCCATTTATCCCCCCCCCCACCTCTCTCTCTCTCAATGTACATTTCACAATAAACCCATCATTGGTGCAAGTTACAAATGGTTATTGGTGCAATGAGTGATGTTATTTACAGATGCAAGAGGCGAATGGTAATGCAATATGGATGAAGGTGAGGGGTAACAAGTGAGTGAATGGAAAAGGTTATGATGCGTTATCAGTGGCGACACGTGCTGATTGAGCGTATTGATGGATTGCATACAACAAGGCTTCGTTGGTTGGTTGTTCCCATGCTTCAACAACTGTGTGAACGGCTATGGCTTGATTTCGATTAATCTCAAGCTCGAGTTGACATCCCGTCATGCGTTTGAAATGGGTCAAGACATCGGTCACTTGATGTTGTGTCGTATCGAGTAGTCCAGGAAGTTCATCTTGAGCCATGGCTGTAATGGTGCGTTGAATATGGGTGTTTATATAGCGATCGATAGCTGAGAGTAGTTGACGATCTCGTGGTTCATCTAGACATTGGGTTGATATCACCTTGCTGTCATGGTCGATAATAGTAGTGGTATTTATAGTGTCGTGCTGGTCCTCATCATCATCTGTATTGCCATATTTATTGTTCTCCATCATACAAAACTCGAGCACAGTCTTCTCGATATACGCAGCAAGAGATGCCGAAGATAGCGTATAAGGATCATGTCGATTCCACGCGGTAGGGAGCTTATCTTCAATATAGGCTAATATTACTTCACATGTTAGCATGGTTTAAAAGCCAAAAAAGGAACATTGAGCGGTAATGACAACTCACAACCAACAGCGCCTCGTAGCTGCCGTTTCAATATTTGGACATCAACAGGTGATACAGGCTCAAGTTGCTCTTCACCAAGGACTTCAAGGGCATCACGAAATTGGGTCGAGATTTGTTTGGACATGGTGTAAAATGCAGTGTCGACATCGCGGGCAAGATGGGTAGAAAGTAACTGAGAATAGAGAGAAAGGTCAAGGTGCCAGTCTTCCGCCGAAACGATAACAGCAAAAACTTCCAATAGCCACCATGCAAGAAACGACCAGCGCATTCGAGAGTCGAGTAAGAAAGAAGATAAAAGATAGATATGCCAACAAAAAAAAAAGGTCGAAAACCAGGTTATAAAAAGTAGCGTGGTAGGATCGCCGCACTAAACCAAGTAACTGCAACAAGCCTGTGAAACATTCACTAAAAAAAGACAAATGGATATGCTTTATTGACCAGATGACATTTCATCATCATCATCCTTATCCTTAGGTACATCTTGGGGTTCCTTTTCCTGTTCCTCCTCATAATCATCTTCTTCATCTACCATATCATCATCGTCGTCATCATCCTCTTCACCATCATCGTCATCGTCGCCGCCATCAAAGTCATCCAATTCCATATCAGATTCCTCATCGCTCTCCTCAATTGTCCGTTTCCGTTTCCGTGCTGGTTTCTTTTTCGAGGCTGGACCACCCGATTTGCCCGCCGTTTCCTTAGTATTGGAACTTGTTGCTGATGTATTATCTAGTGTCATTAACCATGCATTACTGTACTTTACCATAAAGGATCATTTACCTCGCTTTGACCTTAACACTCGCTTCTTTTTGGTAGTGGGTGTGTTGTTGACAGGTTCATCATTGTCATCCTCATCAGATTTCTGCTGGCCACTGTGCTTTTGTACCCTTTGTTCCAGTTCATCGATAATCGACTTGAGCTCGGGTTTGGTCATCTTTTGTGCTCGTCCCTGATAATTGTATCACCGTTAGGAAACAAAGAAACGGCACGAAGGTAACCATAAAGTATGTCCAATGTTACCTTGGCAATGATCTCCATAAAGCTCCTATGCACCGATTCCTCATGAAGCTTATCTTGATATCCTGCCATGTTCTCCATTAACTTGCGATAGCTCTTCTCTGATTTGAAGGGAAGCAATGATAAACAAAAGGCAATATCGCGCCAAATCCGCTGGTCATCGGTATTCACGAAACGCTGACATAGCTTATCAACCACATTTTCGGCTTGTTTTTCCTAAAAGAAAGATTATTAGCTTGTGTATTCAATTGATAATGATACACCAATGTATGTATACCTTTTCAGCAAAGTCAAAAGAAAAGATGAAGCGCATGATCCTTCTGAACTTTTCCTCTTCCACTTTAGGCTCGCAATTGGTGAGGTTACTGAGAATGTCTGGTAAATTGTTGTAGATTGCATTATCTTTGGTGGCCAACTCGGTAAAGAATAGTTTGGCGAGGTCTGCAATGCGTTGATCAGGGTCCTCCACGCACCGAGCCATCTCACTGATTTGTCCCTTGACCTTGACCATGCCATTTAGGATCAAGTGCGTCAATACCATCACTGCATTCTTCTTGACAAGGGTGCTTTCATCCGACAGGCGATTGTATAAGAATGAGATGTTTTCATCGATCAAAGTGTTGAAGCAGACCGCCATATCACCAAGTGCAATGACAATGTTGCTTCGAATGGTGGCGTCCTTGGATCGTTCCAGAATGGTGAATAGTAGTTGTAGATGCTTTTCACAATAATCAGAGCTCACGCACATGAACTTCGCCAATGCTAAGGTTGCCATCATTTGCAATGTTCGATCCTGTAGATACACGTTAGCTTTATGCTAATCATAATTCCCTTCCCAACACATACCGTATAGATTTTGTTGCGTGCACAAATCTCTGTTAATAATGGACCATAGCGTGCAAGCAAGGAATTGGGACCAAAGAGAACCTCACGCTCACGGATATGTGTGATGGTGTCGCCAATGTCATCCTCCGCAGTACCACCAACTTGATCCAATTCATCATCACCACCTGTACCAGACTCATTCTCTATAAAGAAAAAGAGGGCTCTTTAGTAACCTATACCCCATGTCCCATATTTGCTAAAACTTACCATCCTTTTTGCCTTTTTTCTTTTTCCATGCTGCTTCAAGGATTTCCAAATGTACAATTTGCTTTAGTGCCACATGACCGACAAGGAATACAAGTTGACTGAGTTCGGTTGAGCTCTGGAATACGGGGTTTTGCGGATATGGTAATGCTTGCTGAGAGGCGCTCAAGTCATAATCAATCTCCATGGGTTCACTATTTGGCTCGTCATTGGTCCCGGAAGCAGGTGTCCTTGATCGTTCACGTTCACCAAAGACTTTGGTTGTCTTGTTGCGGATAATCTCAGCGCATAGCACATCGGGATGCTCGCCCAGTAAATAAATTGTGTTGATTGCTTGTTCTGTGACACTGAACCTGTCCATAAAAGCATTAGCACCTAAATCAAATAAAATGCTTTTGCAACCTACTTACCATTCAATGGAATCAGTGGGACTTTCGATAATATCCTTCAGACGTGGGAAAATGGCGTGTTGCATTGGCAATCGCATTCCTTCATAAACACTGCGTCCTTTTGGTAATAATGCAATCGGCAAAGTTAGATCAATACCATAAACTCGGTCCACCCATTTCTTGAGCTCTTTACCTTTTTCGGGTTGCTTGGTACCCGCCAACCGTTGAAGGGCAATGCACGTATATCGAGCCAGACTCAGATCACCCTAATCCATTCAATAAACACGAGTTCCCCTTGTTCCTTTGAATTGTTCCATCATACCTTGCCTAATGGACCAAGCCCTATCCGTAACAAGAGCTCCACCTTCTCGCTTACAATTTCAGTCTTTGCCTTTGCCAACATGCCAAGGATGATAATGGCACCTCGTCGTTGTGCCTTGGGAATATTTGCCCGCGTAAATCCTATGGATGAAATATTACTTTACACGCTCACATACACATGATCAAACCCTTTTTCATCCATACATACCATAAACCGACCAAAGCTTGTCAATGACAGCTTCAGGTAATGGATCCTCAGCCATCACGGTGCATAGTAGTTGTTCCAGGGACGTGAGCTCGGCAAGGGTGGTATTGAAGGTAAGGTGTATTAAGTTGCGAGCTGTTGTGTTGATATTTTCTCGCCTGGAAAGTCGACCATCAGGTTCAAAGTACAGAGTACGGTAGCAATCGAGAAGCTTCATTTTGATCCCCTTGCCTTCGTCACTGGTATCCTTAGTCCATATAAGATGAAGCATCTTTTTGATCCCATCCTATCAAAGAAGTTACATGTATCAATTTATGCTCGCACCTTATCCAATGATACAACTTACTGCTGCAGGCTTCACTTTGTAATTATGTGCTGTGACAAGGAAATCCATGGCTTCCAATACCTCCGGCTTGGACTTTGATGAAAGTAGTTGGCAAATGATGGGGATGGCGACATGTAATTGTTGCACAAATTTGACAGCATCCATATGGAAAGTGCGCATCAATGTCAGTTGTTGCATTTTCTCGGGTGAAATGATTGTGTATTGCGGTACGGGTTCAGCCGTTGGTTGTGGTGTTGTTTCTCGGTTGGATTCATCATTGGCGGCTTTAGAGGGAGATGTTGGCTCGGTTGATTGTTGTTGGTTCTCGGATGTTGTATTATCTTGTGAGGCGTCGGTCATTTCCACGTCATTATCATTATTGCTTTTTGGTTGTTCTCGATCAGATTCTTGCTGCTCAGCTTGCTCTTCATTGTGTGTTGATTGTTGTGACGTTTGGTGTTGTTGTTGTTGTTGTTCTCGAATAGACGCTGCTGCCATACCAGTCATAGCTGCGACCTCATCTGCTGTTCGTACGCTCTGCAACGTGATTGTTAGTATTCTAAGCTAACCAAGTTGTTCAAATAACAATGCACTTACAGACATCTCTTCTTTAATCTTATCCAGCTTACGTTGCCACTCTTCAAGGTCCAATTCACCACCGTACATGCTGTATGGATGCGTTGATATTAACTTTGTCAGGGCTCGAATGGCGTATTTGCGGACAACACTGCTTTTGTCTTCCAAATGACGAAGGGCGAGGACACCCAATGCATGCCGCCGCTTAGGGAATTTGGATTTAATGCTATAATAACACATTAGCAACATGTTGAATGATAAGAATCAACATCAATCACTTACTCGAGGATCTTGAGATAAGATTGGAGCACTCTGGATCGGACAAAAGAGATTGGATCGAGCATGCGTACCTCCAAATAGTCAAAGAATTCATTGATTTGGGAAGAGCTGTTCTCAGAAGTGTGTGTTGATAGCTCGACAATCAGGTTGCCCAGAATGTCAACAATCGCCATACGCATAGTGTAAGACTAGATGAAAGCATCAGCATTTGCAATTCCAACGCTATAATACTCAACCTACCTCACTTCCAAGCTGATCGATAAGTAGGCCCAGATTCTTTAATATACATTTTGGTGATAATTCGGAAAGCTTGATCAAGAAAGCCGAGAACGTCTTTGGATTGGATGAATCTTTGACCTCTTTGTTGGACATGTCCTTGAACTCCTTCTTGCTCACTTCACGCAAAATCTCGTCAGCGAGCTGTGTAACGGCGTACTTTTCATTCATAAAGGTGAGGAGTTCGGCCATTGGCTCAGCAGAATGTTCCCAATACTGCAAATTTTGCATGATTGTCGTCTGGGCAGCTATAAATCATGCATATTAGCTGAGGTCCCTCCTTTTTTCTTTTACCATATAGCACTTACGAAACATTTGATCATAGTACTTGATACTCAAAGCAAGGATTTTGAACGCTCTCATCTTGATAGCTGCAGCTGTTACATTCGTCTTTGGTGCTGGTGGATGTTCAAAGAGTTGGAATGCTGGTTTGGTGAATAAGCTACGTATGCATTAGTATCTATCAACGCATCTTGACGTAACACTCCCATTCCATGTACCTGATAAATGTCCCCCGCTCTGGGGTCAATGGCCATATCTTGGATAGCTTGTATTCCAACAGCAATGCGACAAGGTCAAAGGCTTTGAGTTTTTGACTAGACCAATCATGGCCCTTATCATCATCCATCCTTGATTTTCCTTTCTAGCAACATAGATTCCACTCGTAAGCTTTCGTGGTAGTGTTTATATGCCTTTATCGCCTCCTTCTTACCCTCGATTTGCTGGATGTCGTTGAGGTGGATGATGATGGTCGATTACCAGCAACCATAAGGATCCAATGTACCAAGAAGCCGTACAACTCGAGATTTTGACGATGACTTGCAAACGTTTCCTTTTCATTGTTCTCCATATCCTCAGATGTCGATTTAATCTCGGCTTTGAAGGCTACACAATGAAGCATGAGTCTCATTGTCCTCGCCCAAAATCCACCCCACCTCAATAACATACCTGATAAAATGATATCCAACAGCTTGGCGGCAATACGTGGATTCACATGCTGAAAGTTTCTAAGAGCGTATACATATCAGCAACGTGGAGTCGAGAACCGATCGATCGCGTTAGCTTACTTGATAAAGCTTCTGATCTTGTCAAACACAAGAGGATCAGTAATGTTGTCGGATGAGACTTCTATGCTGTCGGTAATGTCTTTGTTGACAGGGAGAAATGAGTATCAATGACAAGGAAGTTGTCATAGGGAAGGTTGAACGAACCATTCAAGTATCTCGTCAATTCAGGATCGGTTCTTCCTTGAATGGTGACCTCGTTTGGAATGCTGTATGTTGACTGGTCTTCTTGGAGACGTTGTAACTCGTCATGCAACACGAATGGGCTGCTCATGGATATGGGATAATAGGAAAGGGAACAAGACGAGGCAGTGACAACAAGTGTGGACCTGAAAGAGAGATGCAGCTATCTACGCGCCCTTCCCAAACCAAAATTCAAACACCATCCCAACGCGGTGCACGCGATCCTGTCTCACATCACTGGTGTCATGATTATATCATATCCCAAACCCTTGCCCATGACAAGGCTATATAAATGAGGTATTGAATCATGTTGTTGGGGTCAAAGACATCTCATCAATATGGAGGTAAGAGAGCTATGATGCCTATGAAATGAATGAATTCATTAATTTGGTACAATAATAATAGCGCAAGGAGATCCCTACAAGCAAGAACGTACCACGCAATAAGAAGGCTGAACAACAAATCCAATCCAGCGGTGCCAATTCAACTGCTCCTCCTGGTGGTCAAGAACACTTTAAATCAGTGGAAACCGATGCTGACCGAAAAGCCAACCGCGACCATATCCATGATCATGCCTGTCAAGGTTGTCCCGAATGCCGTAACATCTAAATAAAACCACAATGTAAACCTACGTCATGTGCATTGCATGTTTAACCAATTCTGTAAGTTGACAGCTGTGTGTGTGTATGTGTGTGTATAGTATAAGCATAGGATGGACCCTTCTTTTCCCTTTCATCCCTTAACACATGCTTTGCAGCATGATACCCTACCTGTATTCCGGTTTTTCCCTTCTTTGATCATTCTTTCAGGTGATCTTGCCGATGTCATGCAGCTTTCTTTTTCATATTACCAGTAAATCGTTTCAGACAAATGTGCTATTACTCATTTCTCCTTCCCCTTTTACCCATTCCCATGAACCGGAATGCTGGTTCAAAAATGGGCCGACGTGCTGGTGTTGTTGTTGTTATTCAGAATCTTTCATTCCTTAATCTTGTTGCCTGTGAGAGATCAAAACCCATGCTTTGTTTATTCCGGATGTTTATATCCGAGGAGGAAGGATCAGTCACTTAATTGTTTATCATACATGATGGTGGTGGTGGTCTAGGACAAGAAAAAAGTGTACATGCGGGAAAGAATAAAACAAGGAAACGTGGTGGATGGAATGTACATGGGGGTCCGTGAAATGAAAGAGATCATTGTTCACAGCACTTGATGTTGTTGTTCGGTACCCGCCGGAAATATATCTTTGCTCAATTCTTTTCGATCGGCATTAAAGTAACGATCTTCGCGTGCAAACAGCCAATCGTACATCTTATCCACCACTGTAACACGTCTGCTACGAGACTCATGCTGTGGTGGAATGGGAAGGATGATGGGATGACCCACAGCAAACCCATATGTATTTTGCCGCGTGGGTGAGGACTTGTTCATGGGAGATGATGATGATGGTGATGATGATGGTAATTGCATGGGCATAGGTGCCTTGTCATGATAATCATTCAAGTCATCCTCCTCATCACTGCTGCTGCTACTAGCGTTGCTGCTTAAGCTTGCAATAGAATAGCCGCTGGTAGACTTGGTCATTTGTCGTTTTACTCGAGATTTTTCCACCAGTCGTTTGTAATCGTCACCAGGAGCGTTGGCAAGTGATACGTTTGCTGAAGATGCTTCATCCGATGAGACAAAGTGCTTAAAAAGGCTTCCAAGTGAGCCTTGTAAGATGCTGTTATTAAAGGTGTTAAGATCAGCTTCTCGTTTGGCTTGATCGTCTGTGCTGTGATTTGGGAACATTGAAAAGAATACGATGAAGGAAAAAAGAAAAGAAGAAAAAGATGCGTGTCTTTTTATGTGCGATTTGCATGATGAAAGGGAAAAAAAGCAACTCAGCCATGTGACCTTCCTCCGACACACAAGCTCACACCCACACCCACACACACTCAACGTATGGAGTTATGATAATAGACGTCTTACTCTCACAAACCGCGGACCCCAAGCGAGTACCCAAGTCCGTCCTTTTTGATACCACGAGGAAGAGCGGAGGGGAAAGGGGCAGGAGAAATGAGGGGAACACAACATTAACGTCAGACTGCAGCGACACGAGAGAGGAAAATGGTTTAGTCAAAAGCTGCTAATGATAAACACAAGGGCGCCACATAATAATATACAACAATAGAACAGGTATAAAAATCCATGTACAGCACCTCCCGAATATAGCCATTGAAAATCATATGCAATGTATGCACACAAATAGGGCACCATCATAGATGAGAGCATGATGTTTATAGTAAACCCATTACACACCCGCATTGACATGCCGACTGGTACTTATCCACCTTATCCAACAGCAACAAGCTTGAAGCTTGTCTACACTCACATGGCAAGATGGCGTAGGTAGCACCTGTTATTCCCAAATACTACTAATTGGCCGCTAGATAAGATCATGATGATGGTATAATGATTGTCGTTGATCCTTGCACCTTTATTGAAATGCTGCCACGAACACCCCCCCTCTTTGTTCCTGCTCATTGCCGATGCGAGTTTAAATAAGCAAACTTGCTTACTCAAGCACTGTTGGCATACTTTTAGAATTGCCCAAGTCCGTTCGTGCATTTAGCATTTTAGAAACACAATCAGTGATCTGTCATCCAGTTTTGTTGTTCATATGACCACATGCACGATGATGAAGAAAAGTAAACTGATGATCAAGCACACACCAATAGATACCTTTGGAAGCAACAGCCACACTCAGCTACCATGTACCTCTTGAATAGTAGTATACTACATCATCGTGTGCTGTGTAGTCGTTAACGATGAATGGGTATCCATGACCTTTTTTTGGTCCTGTACGGATAATGTCAGAGCTTATTAGCATATTTGACTCAGCCGACCATGCCTCTTTCCTTCCCACATGGCAATATTGTTTGCTCATCTGAGCAATCATAGTCCCACGTCTCACAATTGTTGTTTTATATGTACGTCATAGACACCTTGATGTTTTCAACATGCCACAAGGACCGTTTTTTATTAAGACTCTCATACATACAAAAAGCCATTGGCTTTATCTTCAGCTTGGGAAATGTGTAGATGCTACATTGAACACATGATCGTTTGAATGGAACTAGAAGGGATTTTACATATGTATAATGTCACACAGATCGACCACCATCTGCCTTGGTCATTGATACAACAAGCTAAATCCGAGAAGGAAGGATGGGATTACAAGCAGCTTTCGCTGTTTTCTTTTTTTTATACATGCAATTGGATAAAAGTGGAAATCGAACAATGGGAGTGATATGAGACAATGGGTAAACCAAACAACAAGCTGTACATTAAGTAGCGGGTGACAACGGATGAAGGGATGGAGGTGTTGTGGTAAGAAAAAAAGGGAGGTTGGGGAATAACTCTGAAAAGACACACCTTTCTTGAGAGAAGGCTAGTGAATCAACACGCACACCGATAGAAAGGGGAGCTCAGCATAGAACGGTATCTGCACATACGATTATGCGTCGATATGGCTTCTAAGTAAAAAGATTATTAAGGTTATAGTGTATAGAGGAAGCGAAAAAAGAAGCGTCATTCAGGATTTCATGACCATAATCAGCCTTGTATAACGCAACTGAGCCTGTACTTCATGCCGAGGTAGGACAGATAAAAGCGAGCTGGAAACACACGTATGCTTTTGAGCTGAGGAAAGTTGTGATCTATAACAAGAGAGAAAAAAGATCGTTAGTTCTTGATGCATTGATGAAATCATATCATGCAATTTGCACGCGGTCTCCAATAATGATGATGATCCTACCTTTGATATCCACATAGATGCCTATTATTGATGAAATTGGGATTATCAGTATCACTGTTGACACATAGTATCCAACCGAGAAGAAATGAAAGAAGGCGGGGAGGGAAGGAAGAGTTGCAAAGCGACGACTTACCGCCCATGGTGAAAGCTTGCTCAATCTTGTAATGGTTCTCGCTTTGGAATGGTATCCATTGGTTGTCACGGAAGAATAACCAGGTGACTTCTTGAGGGAAATCGGTCAATGGCGGTTCAGAAGATGAGAGGGGCTGGTCGGTGGGTTTGCTGTCTTTTCGAGGAGTGAGGTCGAAAGAGTTGTGGTGGTGTGTAATTGGAGTGGGTGGTGATCGCATGGCATCGAGCCGAGGACTGGAATGAGAATGAATAGGCGTTGACAATGAAGTGGGAGGATGCATTAGCAGAGCCTGGTTGTATATATATAAATGTGTAAAGCTGGTTGGGGGGAAAAGAGAACGAGAAAGAAGGCAAGCCAACAGGGTAGTAAGGTTTCCATTCCTCGACCGCTTTAATGTTATAGTTTGCATACATACAAATCGGGCAAGTCGCTTGCCGCTTTTGAACCCTCCCACCTCTACTTTCCATCATGCACTGCACGCTACTTTCACCCTGACAGCATTCCATCAAGATATCTTTGATCAGTAGATCCTCTTTATCTATACCTTGGTGATTGCTGAATCAAAACGAGCTATATCTCTCCACCAGGTCACATGATGGTAACCTAGGAGATTCGACCTGTAAATCCTTTGAAAGGTTCGAGTTTTCATTGTTCGCTTCTATACTCGATCTTGTAGCTGGTTCATTAACGATTGATAGGTGATATTACCCCTCTTATATAGCGTTACTTGGCATTGAAGAATGATAAAAACACCCTCAGATAGAGAAAGTAGAGCTATCCTATAGCACAGAAGATGGTAGTACGTATATAAAGAATGATCCCGTTTATTGGCAACAAGTGCCTTCCCATCGAAGAATAGTCTACTCAACTTTGGGTATTCCGTTGAATGTGCTAAAATCATTGCTATTGAGGATCACCAGACCCCCATTTCTATGGCTGTGAGATCATTGTATGGAACATCAGCTGCAGGAAAAACGGATACACAACATGTGATGATTCCAACGACTTGATGTTTACAAGGAAGAGTAACGAGTGCGAGGATGGGATGGTTGATGACGATTACACCAACAACATGCTGCTGGTCTTTTTCAAGTGCAAGAATTCCTTGGCTCAATCATAATCAACTTTATCTACTGCACAGCACAATAGACACATTAAATGACCAACATCGTCATCATCTTTGGGTGGGATTGATACGTAAACAACACCTTTAAATTGTTGTTGGATGTATTTATTGATTTATAAAAAGAAGCCTATTTATGCATAAAGAAGAAGATGACTATGTGCGTTGTATAACCTAATGACGCCAGATCATATCAACCAAATGCAGCGAAAAGCGTTTTACAAGCTGTGCAACCTTGTTGGTCGACACGTGAATTTGACCAGCACACTAATTTGCGCATCACCTTCTTCACTCAACTTTTGAGCACCTTTTGTCCTTTTCCTCCACTCGTTTTCTATTTCTTCACACCATGGCCGACACCGGCTCTGTTGTCAGCACGACTAGTAGCAGCGATGGACGACGTAGTTTCTCTTCACCTTACACAGCACACACGCTCGATCAGATACCGACGCCCATGCTCAAGATGCTTGTGGGACTGGGTCCCGTCATTCGACAATGTGTACAGCTCATTGAAATCGTCACATGGCAATCGTCTCGTCCTCAAGTATCCGTACTTGCTGTGCTCTTGTGGATTTGTTGTTGTTGTTGGACGACGACTGTATTATCCTTGGGTGTACCGATCCTTGTTTTAAGCAAGCTTTGCCGAGACTGGTTGCAGGCGAAAACCACTCGACTACGACGAGAGAAGCTGGAGCAAGTGCGAATGGCAGAGCGAGAAAAGAATCAAGCACGTGATGATGCGAGTGACGACAATGACTATTATGACGATGATGAGGATGATACACGAATGCGTCGACAAAGGAAACGACAACAAGAAGAAGACGAGTTGGTGTCACGGAAGATACAACCTGAAGGTCGAGTCTCGTTGGATGATACTTTGCATGATTTGGCCATTATCAATGAATATGCAGATGGCGTACGACAATGGTGTGGATGGTGGGCTGAAAGATTGGATGGATCAAGACCCGAAGTATTGGCTTCTGCTCTTAGCGTGTTTATGTACATATGCCCGCTTTGGATCCTGTTCAACTGGTTATTGGGTCCTAGTGGTGTCTTTGCTCTGTTGGGAACATTGTTCTTAATTGGCTCGTCTCCTTGGTTCAAAGTCACTCTCATGGCCATACGTCAAAGTCCTTTCATTATGCATATCCTCGCTGCGCTTTGGGCATATGGTGTTGCTGTGGTTCTTTCATTATTGTCTCTTGTTTTGCCCTTACAACAACCTCTTCCTCAAAAACAATCCAAATTTGGCCGTGTCAAGGGATGGATCATGGGTCTTGCCGAGCATGCTCGTCACAAGAAATCAAAGGCATTACACGCTATCCAATCAGAAAATGAAGATGACAACAAAGCTACAACGTGCGGGACACGCAGCGAGATGATCTTTCAATTTGAAGTTTACGAGAACCAGGTATGTTGTTAGGGGACATGATACGTATACAAGTTAAATACTAACATGGGGGGGGATCATAGCGATGGTGGCTCGGTATGGATTGGACAACCAACATGATGCCAACTGAACGTGGACCATGGTAAATACATGATGGGGGCTTTCATGTTATTATGAAGGAGATGATTGATCCAAAGTAAATAATAGGACTGATAAGCAGCTGGTGGCTATTGAATCTAAGGAAAAGTTTGTGCTTCCAGCAACAAATGAGTCTGTGGAGATCATCCAACCCACAAACAAGAATGGCAAATCAATCAAGGTGACAACCAGGAAAACATGGGGATGGGCCGACCTCGATTGGTGGGTGGATATGACTGGCGAGCTGCAAGGCAGTGTCGATCGTAATGGATGGGAGTATGGCAATAATGCATGGAAGCAAATGAGCGGCAAACCTGGTATGCAGACCTTTACACGTCGTCGACGATGGTGTCGTAGAGCACGTTTGGTGGAAAGACGCTTTGAGGAAGAGATCCATGATGTCAAGTCATCGTCATCCGATACCAATGGCTTACGAAAACGTGCCTAACAATCCAACTTTTCTTCAAGAGATCATGTTAATAGTACACGTCATGCAAAATCATCCCCTCACATCACCTCGGAGAATTACTATATGTACTTTTTAGTTAACTGTCAGTTTATACTCTTTTTTCCTTTCCTATTTTCGCTATACAACAAAACAAATGTTTAAACGTTTCATTTTTAATCGTCTCAACTTGCCTGAACGTGCAGAGAGGTATAGACCACGTGGTACTGCACAGCTCACCTCTATTGAGCGTCAATTCCCATACTTGCTTCACACAACCCCAAAGAAGACCATGAACGAGAAGCAGCGTAAAAAGCTTCAAAAAAAGATTGAGCGGATTGCTTATTGGTTAGATAATGCAGTACCAGGATCACCCATTCCTCTTGGTATCGATTCGATTTTGGTATGTACATCATCACTCGACCTCGTTTAATCACTGTGCTCACCCCATGACACGTTTGAAACAGGGTTTCATCCCATTTATTGGAGGCTTCATGGGCTCATTATTATCATTGTACCAGGGCAAGTGACTAACTCATGTTTTGAAGAATGAAAAGCTCAACTTGGAAGAGTAGTGTATTTATCAACGCTTTTTGGAATCCCATTATGGCTATTGATGCGCATGACAATCAGCTTGTTTATCGGTAATTGCAGTTGCTTTATTGGTTTGAGACAATGAAACTGAAAGAGGAGTCATCCTAGACTTCATTATTGGTCTTGTCCCTGTGGTTGGTGCATTCTTGGATATGTTTTACAAGGCCAATCTTTGGAATTATGAGGCGTTGGAGGATTATCTTGTGCATGAAAGTCAAGTTCCACATGACAATGTACCACCACCACCATCATCATCGTCATCCAGCGGTAGCAAAGATACAAAAATGAATCCAAGGTATCAAGACTTAGCATCGAGTGAGATCACCTGGACACAATTGGGCAAGGATATCACTCAATTGGGTCACACTGCAATGGATTATATCCCATGGTCCACCAAACAACATCCTGAATAGTATAGCAAAAGCGATGTAATAACAATGGATGCAGGTTTATTTGAAGCAAATAGTTGTTGTTGTTGTTGTTGTTGTTCAAGGTGGTGTGATATAACTAGAAAGGTATCATGCAAAACAAAGAATGTGCGTCGTGTGCGAAATGAAAAAATGGAGAGATGGTGTGGGGAGAGGGGGGGTTGAAAGAATAGGTGAAGCATCATACGTGTAACGTTGGACGACATGCATTGGCGGGTGTGGATGGTGTGAACTTTTTCATTCAGAAGCCCAAAACGTTCTCAAGCTCATCTTCATCACTCATAAGTTCAACAAGTGCGTACATCATATTGGCCATATCACCTCCCGATTGTATTCGTAGATAATTGCGTACTCGCGATAGACGAGTGAGCGCCACAAGGGGTGGCTGGTCGTTTGATGGGCGGTCTTGCTCCTTATGGATTCGTTTCAATACTACTTCTTCCTTGGCTTCACTCAATAGTCGTTGTAAATGTATCGGTAATGCATAAATGTCCTCGTTCATACTCGATTCACTCAGATAAGTGACCATGTCAGGTGAAGAGAATAACCCCATAAGATAGTTGTATTGGAAGGGCGTGTCATTGTCCGATTGCAACTTGTCGACGGGATGTAGACAGTCTTCATCGAGATGACAGGAACAGTAACCACATGAGGCACTGTACAAATGCTGATTTTGTTCTGGTCCGATACCCACGTCCATATACAAGAAACAAAAAGAAATATAGAGAAAAAAATAGTTGTTCAAGAAAAGAATAGAAAACAAGTGCTAGTTCACCGGTCTTTTATAAAGAACAATGGCGTGTTTCCATGATGTGATGTTTGATCATTCCCCCCTTCCCTTCCCTTCTCCACTTTCCTTTTTCCCCCTTTTACCCTTGCTTCCCAAACTAATCCTCCATCTGATTTCCCTCCCTTTGCTTTTGAGAATTCCTATTTTATCATACACCATTCATAAATGACCACAACAGCGGCATCATTCCGCAGCGAGGTTGACACGTGTTGATGGTACCGCAGCTTTAATATGCACCGCAGCGGGAAGATTGGTACACACGACCTACTTGCATATTTGTTGCTACCATGTTGATGTCGTTTACAAGAAAAAAAGATACATTGAACAGGAAATAAGCACACAAAAAGGTAACAGGGCCAAATGAAACCATAAAAATGAATCGTTACTAGAGTATATATACCACCACATCACGGCAAGATGGCAGATTTGGCAGTGATACAACATGCACACTGGGAATTATTTCAGATCACTCGCATATCACGGTTTACTTGCTAAAAGTAGTTACGCCTCAGCTAAGAGGACGAAGTAGTCGCAGCGTTGCCGATCTCATGGCTGAGCCAAGAAATACAATGGTTGTCATGGTAAACATCTCGCCACATGACACGTGATCATAGTCGTTAAAGTTGTCAATGTCGATGTATGAAAAGTAGAACGAGGTAAGTGTCAAAGAAAGAACCGATCTGATCGTCTTTAGCTGCCTATATTAAACCTGTATTGAATGCTATTGTTGTGTTATTACTCGGATTCCTTGATGGCCATAATACACATGTCGACCTTAACCATGTCATCAAGCTCATTGTAAATCATCACAGCTATCACCTCAATAAACGAAAGAAGCTTTACTGCTTTATCAACGTCATCCCCGTTTCTTAGACTGTAAGTTGTACGTCGATACTCAAGCTTAAAGAGACATGGATGCATCTTAACAACAGGCTGTTGTCACGTAGTACAATGTGCTGTTGCCCTCGGTTACGGTAGCAACATTGGTTGCCATGCCATCATCTTTCTCACATTGGATACATGCACACAATTCCTCTCTCTCTTTCTCCCCTTATCTTCATCAATTCGCGGGTTGATGCTGTTGCTATGTACACATTGCCATTCATTTTCTCTGCCAATTTCATCGTGCTGTGTCGCATGGATACGGTTGTATTGGATTTATTTGACGTGAGTGATATGCTGATATAGCTGGATCTATTAGTTCTTGACGAGCTGCTCAAGAGCCTTGGTAACATCCTGAGAAGAAGCGTTTTGAAGGATAGCCTTACGTTCAATGCCCTTGTCTATATAGACACGTTTGGTAAGTCATGTTCCATAGCTATCCTCTAGCAATACTTACCGAAGCGAGCAAAGACACGAGCTTCAGCACCAGTTGCTTCACGGACGAGAATGGGAAGTTCAGGGTTGGCTTGCTTGATGGCAGTGTAGTTTTGAGCGATGAACTCTCTATTGATTGTACGGGTCAGGATCGTGTAAGAAACCAGAGCGTGTAGGTGAATGGTCGTTTATCGAATTACCTCAAACCAGAGCTTGCTGGAGAGGTCTGGCAAAAGTGAACGCGAAGCTCCTTAAGGCCCTTGCCCAATTGCGATCTCAATGCTGACATTTGGCTGTGTGGGATACGAAAAGTGTTTATCTTGTGACCAAGCTGTGCACACAGGGCTCCTCTCTCAAGGTAAACGTCACATGAACAGCCAATGAAATTTTAAATGTCCTCCTCCACCCCACACCCACACCACACTTCTTTTTAGACTCGAAAGGGTTACTTGACAATTATATTGTATTGTGTGCATGAAATCAATATGAAACACGGAATTGCAGGAATAATAAATGAAGTGTTGATGAGTGGTAGTACATGGATAGAAAGGAAATGCAATGTTGATTTGTCTTTTAACGTCTCTTGCGTTTGCTGCCGGCTTGTGCTGATCCCTTGAGACGGCTATTAAGTACCTTCTTGGCTGTTTCATCAGGTCTGACCTTGTTGCGGTTGCGGTTCTTGACATTGGCAGTCTCATAGTAATGGACACCGACCTTTTTCTTTTTGGATGGTGCTTCTTCTTTGACAGCCTTCTTTTTCTTGCGAGGATTCTCTTCTTCTTCATCATCACTGCTTGGTAATTCTTCACCCATATCACTCATCTCAAGCTCGCTATCGACTTGCTCATCCTCCTCATCATCTTGTTCATCATCCTCTTCCTCGCCTTCAATGACAGGTGCCTTGGTAACAGGTCCTTCTTCACCAACAACGCTCTCAAAGATTTCATCCCAATCAGCTGGATCCTCAGCAGGTGCTTCACCTTCCTTCTCTTGTTCATCCTCTTGTTCATCTTCTGATTCATCCTTCTTTTGCTTGAGTTCCTCCTTCTTCAAATCATCTTCAAGATAATTGCTGGATACTGCAATGTTTTTGAAAATCTGCTCCACACCAATCTTCTTCTTCTCCTTGGGTTCAGGGGCCTTTTCATCCTCAGGCGGTGGGACATAGTAAGGAATTCTACCACGAAGCCAGTCGTGAAGCACCAACATGGCAGCATTGTGGAAATCAGGTTCGCCCTTCTTGAGCAGCTTGCCAGTCTTTCGTGCCAGTTGTTCCAAAAAGTCGTTGGGATCGGTCCAATCCATGATGTTGTATGTCCGTTGGATGTATTCTTTGCGTACACGCTCGAGAATGGTGGGGATGTTGTCTTCAGGATTAGGAACGTTTTCAACTCGGACCTAATAGATAGAAGCATTAGTTCATGTCTCTCTATGCATACATAAAATGAGGCATTCTATACTTACCGAACCCTTGAGGATAATATCAGTTTCAGAATCTTCAGGATTGGGTGGCACAACACCAGGACAATCAATGAGGTAGATACGCTTCATAAGAGTGATGTATTGCCAGACCTTGGTTTCACCAGGGATGGGAGCAACGTTGCACACCTTCTTTGCCTTAAGAGTGTTGATGATGGAAGACTTGCCAGTGTTGGGATATCCGATAAAGCCGATCTGGATTTGTTTCTTATCGCTGTGCAAGCTGGAGAATTGGCGCAAGAGCTGAATGAGCGAACCTTTGCCGAACGAGTTGTTGATGGATGCGTGGAAGGCGAGCGTGGGATAGTCTTTGGAAAGATAGGAAACCCATTTGGCCTATAGGGATAGGGATGATTAGCATAGGCTGTAACTAGGATATAAATGACAACTTACGGTAGCCCAAGTAGGGATCAAATCACACTTGTTGAGCACAAAAATCAAATGCTTGTGGGGTTTCTCCTTGCGGATGAAATCTTCAATCTTGCGGCAGCGAGTACCAAGAGGATCACGAGCATCCAAAACATGAATGACAACATCAGAGGAATCAATGACCTTGTACAACTCATTCCAGATACGCTTGGATTGACCTGCTTGAAGATACCATGCACGTGCCTCGTCGACGAAATCCTTCTCCTTGTTGGCCAACAAGCTGGTATCCTTGCTCGATTGATAATTGTCTATATACAGCAACACATAAGTAAAACTTCTCAAAAGACCCATTCCTAGGATGAATTACCATGCTCTTCATCGACCTTGGTCATAAGTTCTTCCATCGATCCAATAGCGAGTTTAGGCTTCTTGCGTTGTGACTTTGCACCAAACGTAGATGAAAACGACTCTGTCTCGAGAATATGCATACGACCTTGCTTTGTAGGATCTTGTAACAACGACATGGGAAGCTTGTTCTGCTTCAAGAGCACCTGATAAGGATCATGGATCTTTGCACCAAGAGATTCTCGAAAGTCTTCCAAAGCCTTTTGTCCAATCACTCGAGTGTTGCCTTATCATTGACGTATTAGCCTTTGTATTCTTGTCGTTGCTATGGATATCCAACTACTTACCAAACCACTTGCGATTGGGAGCCACTCGTGCCGTCTTGACTTCAGTGCTTTGAAAGTCGGCTGCCTTGACAATCTTGCCTGCAGAGTTGCGGATCGCCTTGCCGCCTTTCAGCATGTTGATATAGCGTAGCTTCTTGGCATCACGATAAAAGTTCTCGCCCTTGACACGAATGTTGGTCGCACGATCGTCGCCACCCTCCTTGGATCGAGCCACACGAGCCTTTTCTTTCTTGAATTGACCCATGCCGTTGGTTAATGTATCGAGGACAAGATCAAACTTTTTTTTTCAAGGACGCTTGGTCCCGCTTTCAGCTTTTGCCAAATGATCCTCCTCCAATCAAATCTCAGCATTGCTTTGCAGTTGTGGAACGTTGAACACTTTGACCGACATCCACATTTCTTTATACGCTCTTCAAAGGAGTGCCATTGTGGATGTTGTATACATTGTACCCTCAAAAAAAAAACAATCAACACCGTTTATCGTAGTAGTCATTGTATAGTAGCTATGAAAGCTTTTATCCACATTGAGATATAAAAAGACATGCGATTGCATCATTGTTGGCATTCGAAATATAGTAGCAACTTCATTGTGAACATAGCTGTTGGGAATCACGTGAGAGTGTTATGGACAAAGAGATCCACCCCTTCTTTTATATGCATTTTGCATGCATCATGCACCATCCATACCCCGGAATACCACAACAATGAAGAATAGATCGTCATTTTTGACACCTCTACTCAATCGAGAACACATTGACAGCGACATTACATGGTCATGCTTTATTGCATAATCCAATAGAAGCGTATGTTAAATAAGGAACCAATTTGCGCCTCCTGTTGGTTGTGGCGATATACATCACCAGCTTGCACGTATCCCCTTGAATGTGCTATCATAATCCAGGATTACATACGTCCCATTGACAAGGAGTCGTGTAATACTATGATAGCCATATTGAATCTAAATTGAAAAGAATCATTTTGCCACTATGCCTCCCCAAAAGCAACGCAAGACGTGGCATTTTTAGACAAGAGCCACATGTAGACATGCACCGCGCATGTGTATGGGGTGGCAAATATTAGGATATTACTGTCAATGAACCTGTCGTAAGGCTATAGAGGGCTTCCCCATGTCATTATTTATAGAGTGGGATTATTCTAGGAGGGGAGAATCGTCAAATTGACAACAGCGCTAAAAGAATGCATGGTGGATCATGCAGGAGCATGTAAAAGAAACACCATCGTTTGCAAGTAACGCAGGCACTTTAGAATGAAAACCTAGCAAGTTTATTAGTAGTCATGGACGACAATTAGCAACGGGTAGGAGACAGGTCGTCAGCATCCCACTCGCCGTGCCCTCCTTAGCACGCGGTAGCACAAGCAGCGACGAGTGTAGTAGTTGACCGATCAAATGGATCAGCACGTCCATATACTGGGAACTTGCATTATGCCAACTACTGGATCCATTACATGGGAAGAAATAAGAGACAAGAAAAGGCTTTGGCAAGGAGCAAGGAGTGATCAGGGGTGAATAAGGAAGGAGGTATTAATGCTTGCTAGTCCATTGATAAGGTGGCCTTGTCGGTGGACTCGGCTCGATTACCATCTTTTTCTTTTTCTTTTTCCCTCATGTGCCAACGATCCACTGGTATGAAGCCTAAAACACGAGTTGCCTCGAGTAGCCATATGATGCCATCAAAGAAGAAGGATGCTTTCTTCAGCACCAACAATATCGCAACCCGATCCACTGGTATTCAACAACACCGACAAAAACATCATATGACGACCAATAAGCGTTATGCTCCCACATACAGGGAACTAATGCAAATATCAGAGGCAAGGCAACGAGTATCGATTTATGAAAAGGCATTCAAGCATTTTGGCAAGGCGGACTCGAAATTATCGACATGGATTAAACGCGTTCGAGCAAAAGGGCTTCCTGAGCCGATGAAGGAAGGTAAGCAATGGCAATAGGAACATCATTTTATTTATGGTAACTTATCTTTATCATGATGATGTACACAGGTTACCAACCAAAAAGAAGGCGTTGTGACCAACACGCGGCTACATCACGAGGTGCAAACCCAACAAATCCATCCATTAGTACATCTATCAAAAGTATTTTGCTTCGAAAAGCTTCAGCACCCTCCATGACGACTACCACTACTAGCAAACTAAGGAAAGATGCATCAATGGCTGATACACCACCGCGTCCTTCCTTGAGTGAATTGCTTCGTCAAACACCTTCCATCCCTCGTTTATCAATGTCTATTTCCACAAGGTCCAAAATATCCCCACGAGCAGAAGGTGATCAACATCACAAATATCAGGCTACTATTACTACCACCACCGCCACACGTGGTCATCCTCCCACACCAGCCCACCCAAGAAATGGGATTCCCTCCAAACTATGGCAGCGTCACTCCATGCAACCACCGCCACCCACACCTGATAATCGGAAAAGTCATCATGTTAAACCAACATCTTATTCATCCATTTCCAGCAGTCTATCATCAAGAATCGCTCGTACAAGGAAATCAATCGATTTATGGATGTTGGGTGCTGAGAAGAAAAAGCAAGCTGATGAGAAGATCTACAACGTTGATAATGAAGATGCGGTGGATGTCCGGTCATCATCAATGAGCCATAAGCAAGTAGAGATGGCGACTTTGCAAGCATTGAATGGGAAGAAGAGGATGAATAATAATGGTAGAAACAAGATGGCTACGAGATGTTCAATCATGTCTGCACGAGTTTGATGATTAAATTGTACTTGTATACCACAGGAATGCAACCCACCTAAAAAGGGAAGCTGCATTGCATGAGTTTTTTTGATTGATCTCTCTTCCCCGGATTTTTCAATCTCTTCACACACTCTTTCTTCTTTTCAACAACCCGTTGATGGCCACAAACACACGACTTACATTATATTTGGCCTTTGTCATTTTCACTATCACTTTGGTATGTTGACTAGACCCAACATAGCTTGATGCTGTTGTTTAACCGTGGGTTGGGGGTTGTGGTGATATTCTCTCAGGGGGCCTTTCAATATGGGTACCACAACGGCGAACTCAACACACCACAAGCCGTGATTTCAAAGTGTCAAACCAAGCAAGGTGTCCTCATTGAGCCATCTGATGGCATTGGTGGTTTGCCAGGTTGCATTCGCATGCCCGATTCGCAGTATTCGCTTGTGGTTGCCATGTTGACATTGGGTGGTCTCGTTGGTGCTTTATCGGCTTCCTATCTCAGCGACCGTTTTGGACGAAGACTAGCATTGTTTGGGACAGCGATACTCATGGGACTTGGATCACTTGTTATGACTTTTGCAACGAATATGGTGACATTGGCTGGAGGGCGATTTGTCGCAGGTCTCGGTAGTGGCATAGTGACAGTGGTGGTGCCAGCATACATTGCAGAATGTGTACCTCGATCAAGTCGTGGATTCTTTGGTACACTCAATCAGTTGGCTATTGTGATTGGCATCCTCGTCGCCCAATTAATTGGTTTGGCATGGTCAACATTGGCAGCATGGCGTTCTATCCTTGCAGTGGGGATCGTATTATCACTCTCACAATTATTACTTTTGCCTTTTTGTGTCGACTCGCCACGCCATCTTGCATCCATTCCAGGTGGATACAACCGTGCAAAGGCCTCTCTTTTCAAATTACGTGGACCACCTATGGATCTTGTCGAAGCTGAAATTAACGAATGGCGCGCTGAACAAACCGGTGACAATGAACACGTCGTAGCAACAGCAGAACCAGAACGACACAAGGTGAATCTTGTACGCTTTTTGATATCGCCCGAGTATCGACGCCCACTCGTCATCATTTTGCTATTGCAATTGACTCAGCAATTTTCAGGCATCAATGCCGTCATCTTTTATTCAACATCTATCATGTCAGCCGTCTTTCCAGAGTCATCAGATCTCATCACCGTGTACATCTCAATCGTCAACGTATTCATGACCATTGTATCAGCATACCTTATGGATCGATCAGGAAGACGAACGCTATTTTTGATATCAGCAGCAACCATGGCAACCATGAGCATCTTGCTAGGCTGGAGTATGGGTGCTGTGGATAAGGATAAAGTATCGGCAGTAGCAATCATTGGCTTTGTCGCTGCATTTGCTATTGGTCTTGGCCCTATTCCATTCTTGATGATACCCGAACTCGTGGATACACAAGCAGCGGCAAGTGCAGGTTCAGTGGGTCTTGCTTCCAACATGATGTCCAATTTTATCGTCTCAGCTGGATTCCTTGGTTTACGTGACATTATTGGTCAACATCGTGTCTTCTACATGTTCGGCGCCATCCTCGTAGCTATGTGTCTCATTGCTTGGAAGATTTTACCAGAAACAAAAGGTCGTAGTGCTGATGAAGTTATCCGATCCAATTGGTCCATCCATCCCAAACCATACCAGCAGCTTCCTCGAACATCAGATTCCATAGAAGACGCTTAATTTTCATTAATCGGTTATTCCCGTTGCTCTCCTCCATCTTTTCCTCTCTTAAGCATTCCTCATGTAATCGCTTCATAATAAACTACATTCTCCCCTTCGTCTTTTTGATCACATGAAATACATGTATACAACATTTGTCTCCCATGTGCTCTATTCGCTTTAGCCCTTATTTGGTAATGCATTGATGAGATCATTTGTGAGCATGATGGACATTGCTAACCACGTGCTTGTATGAGAAGAACGCTCAAGAGCAATCGCACGGGGTTGACTCTAACGCACATTTCGATAATAGTTCGCTACCATTTCCATGATATCAAATGACTTTATAGAACGAAAAACTATGTTTAGGCTATATTGACCTTGTAGGCAGTGGTAGTAAATTCTGCGTTGGATCCAATGAAAGGCTCTGTGCCTGATTGGAATGCACGCAAGTACTGAGATTTGTCGAGTTTACCAGTATCCACGAGGTGTTGCAGGAAGGGCAAGGCATCGCTTTCCATGTTGTTGATATCTTTTGCAGCCACAAAGCTATAAACCTTTTGGGATCCATTGCTACCTTCATGAAGCTCCCATGTGGTACCGTCGTGATCAAACGTGCTAATACTATCACCAATGGGACCTGCACCACCAAGACGACCGAGCCAGATCATGATTTCATATTCATAGTCTCCCGTTGTACTTGAGGACGTCCAGATATCAAAGGCCACATCTGCAACCAAGCCATCACCTTTATATGACCATTTCCACGTAAAAGGAATACTTTTGAGCGCTGATAGCTGCTTGGGATCGATCTCTAGCTTGGCGTTGGCATATGATTTGACTTGTGTCTTGTCACCTTCCCAACTCCAAGTCGTACGCCATGACAACGTATTGTCATCCTTGATGCCGGTCACTTCGGTACACTGTGAGCCACTTGTAGCAGTATCCTTGTTCCATAGGTTGTTGTAGATGATGTAATCACCAGCCGTGGTGGTATCGTATTGCCCACACATTTCATTAGCCCGTGCAGCAGGAAGTGGTGATGCCATTGATAAAGGCACAAGGAGGAGAGCAGAGGCACTAGCTAAAGTCTTGAAATGCATATTGTTGATTGTTGATTGTTGTTCTAGGCGTCGTCAAGGTCCTTGTTTCTTGATTTTTATATCGTCTTGGTTTCCACGGCAAAATGTCAATGGTGACACAGGTCTCAACGATATTGCGTTTGATTGTTAATTTCCGCCATGTGTCCTGCATTGCCGCGGAAAGCCAGCTACCATAGTTCTTCCCATCCACAAATGTGATGTGATAATCAGAACGTGCATCAAAGTGATCACACAAGCTTGCTTGTCTCATCCATGTCCATTTCACAACAATATTACACAAATGGTATTATCCCGACATACTTACTCCCTCTACTAACACAGCAGTCGTTGATGGAACACTGGTTAAAAAGGACGCACAGGGGATAGGTGGTGTAACAAAGGCATCAGCGAGAGATTGGAAGCACAAATCAATGGTAGACAATGAATAACTGCTATAGGGTAGCATGTGTGGGCAATCGTTCACAAGTACCCACGATGTCTTTGTGATAGCGAAAATGTCCAGTGCATCCGAAGCACCTTTTGAAAATACAAAGGGGTCTCGCCATCGAGCATCGGTATTGAATTAGTTCCATACCTACATATCCATTAAACGTCCCTTATAAAGAAGGATTGGGTTTCTTCTTCATTTTTTCTTTATTACGATAAAGGCAACACGTATATAGTACGCACGGATCTTCTGGCAAGGTGTAACCAACGGCTATTTGCCTAGATCAAGATCTACATCACAAAAAAAGGAACTGTGCTATGGGGTATCAGCAAGATCTAATAACAAAGAAAGGGATATGAGTTGTACTATCGAATATGCACAATCTTTGTTCACAACACAATGAATCAATCAGGCCTTTTCTTCCTCTCTTTCCCTTTATCAAAGCATTCACTGGTGGATACATATGCTTCCACAATCCTGCATGAATCTTTCTATAACACAACGCATCGAATGTCCACACACAATGAGATCTAGAAGCTTAGACGTGGTTGGCCAACGCAATCTCGTATTTCCAAAAGTAATCCTTTAATCCAATATCATCCACAAGAAATAGATTGAAAAGTACAACGAATTGTTCCAATGGCGAGGATACATTGGTTGGGAAGTTTCTATCATCATTTGAGTAGCATTTTGAAGAAACGAACGTATGGACGCGTCGTGGCGAATTATAAGCATGACGTATCAAACATGGAGATGGATGGTGATAATCAACGGTTTGCACAAAGGATGATGATAGTAGCTGCTATTGGATAGCGTCAAGTACGATAATTGGATGCACCGACCGTTCAGGATGACAGCATCAAACATGATGATCAAGTTCACAATGGATACACTCTTTTACGACGCGTTGCATATACCAGATCCTTGACATCCCATATACCAAAGCAATGTAATATTCAGATCCATATCCATGGGAAGTCGTATGTATTGAAACAAGTTGCTACATATGAATAAAGCTGCTTCTATACAATGGCTATCTGCTGTCCACGTAACAAAGGCTGCAAGGCAAGTTGCTGCAAGTAAAGAACGCTGTTGGATACGCTGGAGTAAAGACCTTGCTAATAGCAATTGCTGGAATGAATGCTGTTACGTTGATTGTGGTCGCGCATTGTACAAGAGAACGTGTGTTGTGTCAAGAGACTCGTATGCTGTAGAAGAGTGACAAGAAGGTTGTGTTCACGCCCTGGACTTGTCATTCAGTCAAAGACAATCGGATCAAGACAATCGTAGGATGGACATGATAGGTTGAAGGAGGACAATCGTTTGCAGGTGGTAGTTGTACTTGAATGGGGCAACAGTTGGGAATGGGAGGAAGAGGGAAGAAGTGGAAATTTAAGTAGGCTGAGCTGTTGGACACCTCTTGTATGAATCCATGCATACTGTAATTGATCCATGACCTTGAGATTGCCCATCTCGAACATGAAACTTTCACACAAGGTGGCCTTGGAGATGCTGATCACGTTGTTCTAAAAAAGACCTTATGTTTCATTTGAAAATTTGGAATGGGAGGGTGCAGTGTGGGTTTACTATGTAAATCAGAAATGGAGGACAGCGCCGATTCATGATTTATCGAAATAGTATGTATTACCTTGGGATTCCCCATTTCGAACTTGAAACTTTGTCAGAAGGTTCGCTGGAACATGCTGATCAACTCCATTCAATTCAAATATGCAGACTTCATTGTGAAGATTTAAAATGCGGGGGCGGTCCAAATGGTGGATGACATGAACAAAAGAGCGGACGGCCCACCGCCCCGAAGTTGCCTACCTCCAACTTGGTAATTGTTCAGTAGGGTGCTCTTGAGCATGCTGATCAATTTGTTCCAATCACGACTCCATGTTCATTATCACGATTTTGAATGGGAGCGTCCCAAAGTTGGAGAGACAGGGACATTCGCAGGGTCTGCGATTCAAGAATTGACATGTTCGCTGTTCGAGCGTAGCTCAGCCAAATCAGCTCGGATCAAGAAACTTGAATGATGGAAATGCTGGGCAGGAATAGGAGAATCGTTCCCATGCACTGGATTTGGCAACAAAGACGAATTGGATGAAGGGGCTGTTAGCGGGCAATGATGAGCTATTACTGAAAAGTATACGTTGACCCTTCCAATCATGCATAATGAGCTGAGTTACACGAAGAGGTCCTTCTGCATCTTTGGCTCTCCAGCATCTAGCTCCTTTACATTAAACAAAGACCACTTCTCATATAGCATCACGCTTACAAACGTAAAGGTGCCTGTATCTCCGAACTTTACAATGAAACGTGGGGTTTTTATTAGAGCAATGGGCTCGGCTTGGCCAACAGCACCTTGTGTGAAAGTTTCACGATCAATCTTGCCAATCCAAGATTTCGCAATGTCGCCACCAGCCAAACTGGATCTGAGGGTCGACCTCTTCGACGACGACGACCAAAAAAATATTTTTTGGGCTGTTTGCGACATTGAACGCGAAACTTTCACACAAGGTGCTGTTGGCCAAGCCGAGCCCATTGCTCTAATAAAACCCCCACGTTTCATTGTAAAGTTTGGAGATACAGGCACCTTTATGTTTGTAAGCGTGATGCTATATGAGAAGTGGTCTTTGTTTAATGTAAAGTAGCTAGACCCTGACAGAGCAAAAGATGCAGAGGGTCGTGTTGTGTAACACAACTACGTTTGCATGAATGAAAGGGTCAATGTATAAATACTTTATGGATCATCTAGGAACAGGCATGTATTGCTAGCTAACGGCCACTTTTATCCAATCATCATTGTTGCGAGATCCACTGCATAGGAACGATGCTCCTGCTCCAGACATCCGTTTCCATGATTAAAGTAGGTTGATCCGAGCTGATTTGACTGAGCTGCGGTCAAAGAGAGATTACATCACTCTCGACATAAAGCACGCTCGATGTAGCTCAACCGATGTAACCTTGTGTGAGCGTAACTCAGCCAAATCAGCTCGGATCAACCTACTTTAATCATGGAAATGAATGTCT